TCGTAAAATCAAATAAACGATTAGTCAGACATTTTAATTTCACTTATCAATATATCTATGATGTTCTATCACTGAATAATCCAAAATTTAGTGATTATATAGAATTCATATATCTGATGAGCTCGAAATTAAAAACACTACTGACAGTGACAATTACGCTTCCTACTTGGATCTGCGTCTCGATTTTGACAATTGCCATAAGGCTGACCTTAAAAATATCTTTGTTTCGCCAAACCCGACCCACAATCGAGGAGAAGGGTCGGTAGGTCGGGGTTTTTTTTCAAATTTTTTTTTAAAGAGCTAATTTGACAGCTTGATAATTTTCTGGGGGGGAAACATTCGTCTTTTTTTATTGTCAAACAAATCAATGAGTATGACATCGGGATTTTTCGTGATGCACGACTCCGAGACTCGCACACGATTTGCCACGAACTCTAAGTGTGAAACCCCTTCAACACGTTTTTAACGATCGTGCGGGTTGTGCCTTCATTTTTCTCGAAAACGGATATTGAAAATATCTTCGTCATTTTTAAAACGACGCCCCACAGACATAGAGGCAGAATCATTTCGTGGGAATAGACGTGCTTTCGTCTGCAACCATTTTGTTGAGAAGCGACACCTATAACGCTTTCGTCTTGATCAACAAGTTTCAATAATGAATCAAACTATAGCCATAGTAAAGGGAAATAACTCTCGTGATATATTTCAGGTTGACACACAAAATAAAATAAAAAGATCGCGGAAAAGTGCAATAAAATAATTTAAGTCCGGGGTGGTTTTAGTTAGTCGGTCGCGTTAGGCGAAACAAAGATATTTTTAAGGTCAGCCTAAACTTAGTGTTAAATTGTACGATAAACGTGATGACTTCGACTTTCCGATTGTTAACTTTCCATTTATTAGTAGTAACATTCCGATATCACCAGCTTATGGAATGTTTGTGTCTCAGCTAATTCGTAGATCGAGGCATTTGTCATCTAAGCTTCAACTACAGGGATACTTGCAAACTAAGCTTATTAAAACCTTTAAAAAGTTTTATGGCCGTCATATTGACTTGATTGGTAAATATAACATGTCTCTCTCGGCTATTATTCTAGATATATTTAATTGACACGTATACTATCTCCCTGATAATGTCTGTCTACTACATCATTAACACTGTTTATCACATTTTGCATACCAATAGTCCATTGTCCAATCACGCTATTTTACCGAGATTTCGCCTAATAGTTTGGATGCAGCTATGGTGGGTGTGGCTCCAGGCAGGGTAAGCTTAGTCTTCCGGACACCTGTTGTTACCACTATTTGTTGTGTATTTTGTACATGGTGAACAGTCCATATGCTGATTACACTATTTTGCCTGATTACACTATTTTGCCTATACCGTTTTTTAGGACTTTTGCAAGATGGCATCAAAGATGGCCACCAAAACGTCTTAATGATCATGACTATGTAACTATCAACTCAAATTTGATGATCTTGGGGTCTATTCCTAGGGTTTGGGGGGCAAAGAACACATTAAGATCATTAAAAATGATGTTGGCCTGTTATGTCAAAAATGGCCGCCAACACCTCCAAATGACCGCAAGTCCATAACTATTGACTCAGATTTGATGATCTTGATGTCTATCCCCAGGTTTTTGGGGACAAGGAACTCATTAAGACAACTTTGGATGTCACTGACATGTTTAATCATTATGAAATTGAATCCATGATCTTCAGCTGTCCACTATCATCTAATGCACAAACACCCCTGTCTATAGAATAAGCTTCAGAGTGTTCAGTTTTGAGTGTCATCCTCCTCTTCAGTATCGACCTCGTGAGTGTTGTTTGAATTGTCACAGTTTTCAGTTTGGCAAAGGCCACTATAGCAGTGTAGGGGAGTCCATAGCATCTGCAGCTGCATCGAGAGGATTTGCATGCCCCCGAACAGTTGCAATGGATAATTTGCAAGAGTTCACCAGGCGCAGCATTGTTTTGGGTCATAAATGGAATTAACTGATCATTTTCCTGCTTCCATCCCTATTCAGTTGGGTTCATTTCATTTGCTGTCCCCGTCCATACATTAATTTGAAAGTACACACGTTAGCTATGAAATCTTGTTGCAGGTGATGTTGTTGGGGGAAACCGTTAAGGAATGACAGATGCTTCAGCAGCAGTTGCCACACTTTTGTGAAAATGATATGGGACAGTTATGATAGCGTTTCATTCGACTTGCCACCAAAGAGATCAACCATCAGGTCTTTCCCAAGATCTGATATGCCCTCTTGAGATTTGTTTTGGAGGTGAATGCACTAGCACAGGACTTCATGACGGGATCAGATTTCACTAATTTCTGGAAGGCAGACTTTTTTCCGATGCCTAAAATCCTTGAAGTTGAATCTCGGCCTGAGTAGACATGTACAAAGAGCAACTCGTTGCACGCAACTGTATCCAAAGTTCTGTTAATGTATTCCTTGTCCCCAAAAACCTGGGGATATGATAGACATCCAGATCATAGTTATGGACTTGCGGTCGTTTGGAGGTGTTGGCGCCATTTTTGACATAGTAGGCCAACATCATTTTTAATGATCTTAATGTGTTCTTTGCCCCCCAAAACCTAGGAATAGACCCCAAGATCATCAAATTTGATATTTGATATTTTCGCATTTCAGACCATAACTTTCTGGATTATGGCCCCTGTATATCCGATTTCAAAAAACGTATTATTATATCACCGTTAAACCCTAAGGACGGCTGAGTTCGAATTTCGTAAAAATCGGCCCAAAACTGACAGACAAAATGGCTGCCATTCGGTCTCAAATAGAGTAAAAGTATGGTATATTAAGGTTGTGGACCCTATAGAGGTCACAATTTTTATCTGATTTTGTTGAAACTTGAAGTGTAAGTTTATAACCCAAAGATCTTGGTTCCTTTCAATATTCGCACATATCGGACCATAACTTCCTGAATTATGGCCCCTGATTGTATGAAAAATCACATTTTTAGCTTGTGGACCCTATAGAGGTCATAATTTTTATCCGATTTAAAAAAAAGTATTATTATATCACCGATAAACCCTAAGGACGGCTGAGTTCGAATTTCGTGAAAATCGGCCCAAAACTGACAGGCAAAATGGCCGCCATTCGTTCTCAAATAGCGTAAAAGATATGGTATATCAAGGTTGTTGACCCTATAGAGGTCACAATTTTTATCCAATTTTGTTGAAACTTGAAATGTAAGTTTATAACACAAAGATCTCGGATCCTCTCGATATTCGCGCATATCGGAACGTAACTTCCTGAATTATGGCCCCTGATTGTACGAAAAATCATATTTTTAGCTTTTGGACCCTACAGTGGTCATAATTTTTATCCGATTTAAAAAAACGTTTTATTATATCACCGTTACACCCTAAGGACGGCAAAGTTTGAATTTCGTGAAAATGGGCCCAAAACTGACAGACAAAATGGCCGCCGTTCGTTCTCAAATAGCGTAAAAATATGGTATATCAAGGTTGTGGACCCTATAGAGGTCACAATTTTTAGTTTATAACCCAAAGATCTCGGTTCCTTTCGATATTCGCGCATATCGGACCATAACTTCCTGAATTATGGCCCCTGATTGTACGAAAAATTGCGTTTTTAGCTTGTGGACCCTATAGAGGTCATAATTTTTATCCGATTTCAAAAACGTATTATTATGTCACCGTTACACCCTAAGGACGGCTGAGTTCGAATTTCGTGAAAATCAGCCCAAACTGACAGACAAAATGGCCGCCCCTCGTTCTCAAATAGCATAAAAATATGGTATATCAAGGTTGTGGACCCTATAGAGGTCACAATTTTTATCCGATTTTGTTGAAACTTGAAATGTAAGTTTATAACCCAAAGATCTCGGTTTATTTCCTGAATTATGGCCCCTGATTGTACGAAAAGTCGCGATTTTAGCTTGTGGACCCTATAGAGGTTATAATGTTTATCTGATTTAAAAAAAACGTATTATTATATCACCGTTACACCCTATGGCACCTGAGTTCGAATTTCGTGAAAATCGGCCCAAAAACTGGACCCTATAGAGGTCACAATTTTTATCCGATTTTGTTGAAACTTGAAATGTAAGTTTGTAACCCAAAGATCTCGGTTTACTTCCTGAATTATGGCCCCTGATTGTACGAAAAATCGCGATTTTAGCTTGTGGACCCTATAGAGGTTATAATTTTTATCCGATTTAAAAAAAACGTATTATTATATCACCGTTACACCCTATGGCACCTGAGTTCGAATTTCGTGAAAATCGGCCCAAAAACTGGCAAAATGGCCGCCCCTCGTTCTCAAATAGCGTAAAAATATGGTATATCAAGGTTGTGGACCCTATAGAGGTCACAATTTTTATCCGATTTTGTTGAAACTTGAAATGTAAGTTTATAACCCAAAGATCTCAGTTCCTTTCGATATTTGTGCATATCGCATTGTAATTTCCTGAATTATGGCCCTTGATTGTAAGAAAAATCACTTTCTTTTTAGCTTGTTCTCTATCCATCTCTCGAAAATGTGGGTGTATCCTGTCTGGCAGCCGCTGGTTAATGCCTTTTAAATTTTCCTAAGTATTATAAGAATAAATATGCAACAACCTTTGTGGACTGATCATTCAACATATATAGCTGCTGTGGGCTTATTTTTTGTCACCTGGCAACCAATATTTATATTTGTATATATATGAGTAGGACAGTTCTGAATATGACTTTTAATACCATTTACGGTACCCAATTCAAAATACATAATATATACTATACTTACTTATATCTCTTCTTATATAAATGTTATATTATAAAAATTTAATTATATAACTAGGGATCACATCAGTTGTATTTACTGTATTTACTCGTAATGCATTGTCAAGAATTTATATTTATCCTGACCATTTGAGAGAGAGAAAAATATAAAGTGTAAGAGTAATTAAACTATTATTAAATTCAAGCATTTCAAATTTCAAGTGTTAACTATTTTCAATTTTCTTTTCAGTGGGTGTCCTGCTGCATTATCAACTCATATATCTTGCAGTGCTTACCTGGATTTATCAAAACAAGATGTCAGCAAGTTTATCGCTGATGATGACAATGATGATGATGTTGAAAAAGATGAAGACAACAATGGAGTTGTAATGAGGAAAAATGGAAAATGTGTATGTTCAGATGATAACCAAGATAAGATAACATGTAATTATTTATTTTTTGGGAAATTTCAAATCAGTAAAAACAGGCATCACAAACATATTACAGAAGGTTTGATGTGTTCATTCTTGATAAAGTCAAAACGATGCATTTGATATCCAGACACAACACAATGGTATAAAAAAATGCTTTTATATCAAGCTTTTGTCAATAAATGTACTGACTAAATCTAAAATGACTGGACATTTTAGGAAGTTGTAACATCATAGGAATTTATTAAGTCATGGACTTAGATACATATATCAAAATGGTTACATATATATAATAAAGGTTTTTTTCTTCAATGTGCCTACATTCAGATTTCATGTAGCACACAGCCGATCATACCTCACACTAGTTTGATACAATGTTTGGGGAAAATTTCCCCTTTTCTTGAGTTGCTTCCCTTATTGTTAGTTTGTGTGACTCACAACATATTGGAATTTGGAGAAAATTAACCTTTTTCATATACCACTTTTTTTTTTAGTTGCTTCTCTTATTGTTACTTTATTTTTCGTTTTAATTGAGTCTTCGTTCAGCTCTGAACATAGGTCTTATTACACTCGCTCATGCGTTCAGGAACCGCCCTATTGAATCCTTATCGAAAAAGTATCGGCCCCCAGTCAATTCTACTGGGCAACTTTTTACTGCTAAACAATCGTGTGTCAGTTTCTGTGAACAGAACTCTGCCATATACGACAAAACGAAATTTAGTTAAATTTCGTTTCGTCTTATTTGGCCGAGGGGGGGTTGGATGGCCGAATGGTTAGCACGAGCGCACTGTATCATAAGGCCTGTCATTGAGTCAACTAGCGTGGTTTGGAATCCCTGGTTGTACGTGACAAGGAGTAGGGTCGTCTGTCCAACCTCGTGTGTTTTCTCCGGGTCCTCCTGTTTCCTCTCACTGCTATAGACCCCTACGCGCAAGCAAATTATTGAAATAAAATTAAACCATATGTTAGTCCCGAAATGACCTAGTTTGTATCGAGTGGACGTTAAACCCCATTTCTCTCTCTATTTGGCCGAGTTACATAAATTTGTGTGTTACACTATATTTAGATTTCAATTTTTAACAGCATGTTGTGTCGCGCGCACATACTGTCTCTAGTGAGGTAAGCAAGGTCTTATTTTCTCACTAAAATGTTCTTTCACACTGAACAGGCATTCACAGAGACTGACACACGACCGTTTAGCAGTAAAGTTGCCCAGTAAAACTGACTGGGCGCCAATACTTTTTCGACAAGGATTCAATAGGGCGGTTCCTGAACATACAGGGCTAGTGTAATGAGACCTACATTCAGAGCTGAACTATTGAAGTCTGTGTCACTACAAGCTCGGGACTGTACAGCACAGTGGACGCTTACGACTAACCCCCGGATCCATTCACTTGATCCAATATGTGTGTGTCTGTATATTGTGTCTTGTCAGTAGGTTTGTCTTGTGTGTGGTGCGGTCCCCCTGCACTTATTAATAATGGTAATGATAATGAAATAAAATTTACAGGTGTCACCCAAGAAAATTATGTATGGTCATGAATGATATAGAACCCCCTGAATTAAAAACTCACTTAAACCATTTGGCCAAAATTCTTTATCAGGAATTTTTTGTCAGGTTGTATGACCAAGTATACTGAAATAGTTGTTATTGTCCCCCGCCTTTCAAAGAAAGCAGAGGACTATTAAAATGGGTTTGTCTGTCTGTCCGTCACACTTTTTGGGACACAATATAACTCTCCTTTTAATTGAGCTACATGTAGAATGTTCAAACTTGGTGTAGGTGTTTGATGCAGTTCGCAGATGAACATTTTCTGCTTAGGGTAAGCAGAGATAAGCAATTTGATTGGTTGATGCTTTGGGACACGCTAACTTTAGTTGTAATTAAGTGTGAGTTGATCAAACTTGGTGTATAGTTTCATTACATCAATACCTTGACTAAGTTTGATAATGAGCTTTTTCTGCTTAGGGTAAGATGAGATTTTTCTGCTATGGGTAAGCAGAGATAAGCAATTTGATTGGTTCATGCTTTGGGACAATAGAACTTTAGTTCTAACTAAGTAAGAATGATCAAACTTGGTGTATAGTTTCATTACATTAATACCTTGACTAAGTTCGATAATGAACATTTGATTGATTGAAGCTTTTGGGCACAATAACTTTGGTTATAATGAAGTGAAAGCAATGAAACTTCGGGTATAGATTCATTATATCATTACCTTGACTAAGTTCGATGATGAGAATTTTCTGCTTAGGCTAAGGAGGATAAGCAATTTGATTGGTAAAGACTTTGGAACATAACAACTCTGCCTTAAATTGAGATAGAATGTTTAAACTTGATTTAGATATTCATTAGGTGAATGTCTTGACTGAGTTCATTGATTAACATTTCCCGCTAAAGCTTAGCAGAGCTAAGCAGTTTCTTTGACTTTGATTCTATCTGATAGAGAGTGGTGAAACTTAATGTATAGTTGATAATCAGTTTGATTGCACGATACTTTTGAAAAAGATCAATTTGCAATTAATTAATATGTGTCATCTATTTATGTCGGGATTTCGGTTGGGGACATCAGCCTCACTGTTGGCTTGTTAAGCCTAGTGCTGGATGGAGTAAATGATTTGGCCTTCCCAGTATTGCATGTATGTTACAGGTTTTACATATTAACAATCAACAACAATAGCACAATTAACCAAGTCTCTAATTTTGAATGATTTCATGTCTTTGCTAGTTATTGCTTGAGTTATACATAATCTTACATGATTGTGTCAACTTTTGTCCTTAATAATATTATTATTAGTTTTAGTTGTTCTCAATTTATTTTCTTTCAAAACATTGCCAATTGTACTGTTCTTTCTCTCTATTATTAATTTTGTCATTCATGAACAAGTGTCCAAAATACTTTGGTCTTTAGTCATTTGGTGTTGGTAAGGTTGTTGAGGATCAAAGAAAAGTGGACATGGAATAATCTTCACAGTAGTACTAGTAGCAGTCTAGGATTGGTAGGTCAATAATTCATTTCTGAATTTCTGATCAGCTCTTCTAAATGCAGTTTGTTGGAATATCCAGATTGTTTAAAGCAGGTTCCAAAGTTTTTATACAGCCACATTGAAATGTGGTCGTACGACTCTAGAGGCCAAAGTTAATATCCAATTGACTTTAAATTTATACACAGTGTTTAAGGTCATAGGAGGAAGAAGCCTATACTGGTTAGTTATGTGTGGAAGCTCTAAGAACCAATTTCTAGTCTCAAGCAAATAGATGTATCTGAAGTACATGTACTGTAATTTTTCTTTTCAAAGAAATAACATCCAGTTGTCAGATGGAGTTCAAGATAAGCCCCTTGTCTGTAACTCAGGTTCACTGCATTGACAACTTCCCATACTTTAGTAAATGTTTTTATACGCCAACATTTTCATGTGGACGTATATTGTCATCGCCTCTGTCCGTCCACAATTGTTTGTGGACACTCTACAGGTCACAATTCTTATCCAATTTTGACGAAACTTGAAATATAGGTTTGTCTCCAAAAGATCTTGGTTGCTTTCGATATTGGCATGTATCGGATCGAAACTTCATGGATTATGGCCCCTGATTGTACGAAAAATCACGTTTTTAACTTGTGGACTCTATAGAGGTCACAATTTTAAACCGATTTTGATGAAACTCGAAATACATGTTTATAACCTAAAGATCCCCTATAAAGAATAAGGATTACATAAAGGGGTGCTGATGTCAACCATGCAACTGAAAGCAACTGGCGTTTCGGCAACTGGGAGCAACTGAAAGCAACTGAAAAAGGTGGACCTGAGCACCTATTAACAACAGTTGCTCTCAGTTGTTCTAAGCTGTCTTCAGTTGCGTATATGATCGACATAAGCACACTTGCAACTGACTGCAACTTAGGGGATAAGTTTGTGTATTTAAGCTTATTCACACAATCTTCACATATCAGTAAGATAACCTACTTACTACCTACTGTGTACTTCCCTATCGGTATCATTTTTATTGGTAAGTAAATATTATTATAAAAGAATCTTGACTACTTTTAGTAAACAGAATTTATTTCTATAAAATAAAAGTACCAGTTAAAGATTCCTTCCAGCATGCTAACTGGTGTGATTTGATGATATATTTGAACTAAAAACATATTCAAACTAATTTATCTATCAAAAATTTGTTTCAAATACTCTATACAGATTTTAATTGGAAGAAAACTACCCCCTGTCACGATAATCAGCCTTGTTTATCATGTGACTTGATCAAGAGAGAATCCATTTTCAGCTTGTATTTTTGATAAGTTGCTTTCCATTCACCATTGAAGCCTGTGTAAATCCCTGGATTATCCTCTGCCAACTTCTTTTTGTGGCATTTCATCGCAGAGTCTTACTGAACGTTTAATTCTCTCTATGTTCTCACAACTGTTAGCCATTAGATCAACACATAAGAAGTACTCCTTGCGTTCAAATTTCATGAAAAAATTTTTTCAAATTTTAAAAACCGTTTAAATATATCACCATTCCACCATAATGAAGGTTGAATTCTCATTTCGAGAAAATCGAAATGAAACTGCCCGACAAAATGGCCGCTCTTTGTACGCAAATTGTGTAAAAGTATGTATGAAGGTTGTGGACCCTCTAGATGTCACAATTTTTATCCGATTTTGTTGAAACTTGAAACGTTTCTTTATATCCCAAAGATCTCAATCACTTTTGATATTTGCGCATTTTAGACCATAACTTTCTGGATTATGGCCTATGATTGTACAGAAAATCGCTTTTGTTTTTAGCTTGTTCTCTATCCATCTCTTGCAAAATGTGGGCGTATCTTGCCTGGCAGCCGCTGGTATTATAATATAATGAAATATTCCTGGAGACTAGAGATAATTGGGTATAATCGGATTAAAGTACCTGTAAGCACAGATACTAATCCTATTGATAGTTTTATCACATTTCACAAGAAGGAGTAAAGTGTCTTTAGATTTTAGGTTGTTACGGTCACTAAAAACAACTTTA